AATAGACGTTTAAATGAAGGAGATCAATGATTTTAGTTTATTAGGTTTTATTTCCGCGAATGTCAGTAGCCAGTCCACCCACCGCCAGCTGATGTGCCACACGGATTACATGCGACACGAAGTGATATCGTATTTTATGACGTATATACGCGTAAAATACTGATAAATAGTCGTCACTGAATAGTGAAAAATGTAAACAACGCGGCGTGCCATACTGCCGTTTTAGCTCGAGCAAACACAACCCCGCGCAGAATGATAAGACGTTTTATCGCATTGTAATGCAAACAAATAAAATCGCCCGACCGTATAATAATAATAGTCGTAATATAATAATGTAACGCAAAGGACATAGATGACGGTCGACTTCGGGACATATTATTATTATATTAACAATAATAACGACGACGACGACGATAATAATAATAATAATAATAATAATAATACGCCACGCGGCCTATGCGTTTCTTTATTATCGCGCCGTGAACTTTTTACCCGTTCCGTTCCGTTCCGACCTTTACGCGTCCCCGCCGCCTAGCACCGCGACGCTTAATTGTATCGAGACCGTAACGTTATATTATCATTATTATTATTATTATTATTATTATTATTTCGGTCCTGGGGGACACGACACGATTTTCCCCGTCGGACTCGCGGGGAGGCGGATACGTAAGCAGGTAATTCGATCTCGACCTCAGGGCCCCGTGCAACTGTATACTTACCGCGCTCGGCGGCGCACACCACGCGCTTTCCCGCAACGCGAGTGTGGCGCACGACGATAATATTATTATATTCATAATGCGTAGGTGGGTGTATTGTGGTTCTTATGTAACCGATAAATCATATTATCATTCGTTTAAATGATATCTCGTGACAAACGCCGGAGACGTACGGGGGACGGTCGTGCGAGTGGCGCGGGGGGGGCACGCATTTCAAACTCCTATAAATTAAAACAAGTATAAACTGTGCTACTGCACAACAATAATGATGATAAAACGTAATAATAATAATAATAATAATCGTAATGATAATAGCGTGGCGAGATTCATGTGCAATACGTAAACGACGGGCCCGCAATACCGATACAATAATGTTTTGTAGATTTGATAATTGTAATTATTATCATAGATCAAATATTAAATATATTTAATCTATGTTATTATTGTCTGCGCTCACGAGTAGTACACTGAGCGGACGCGTTTACCGGCGATTTCCTCAGTATCAAAACACACATTTACCGGGAAACGATTGAATGAATTAATACACTATTTTAGACGTGTAGCAGTAATTATTTGTGAGTTCACCGTTCTTTTTTTTTAAATTTTTTTTTTTTTAATCACGCAATCAAAATCAAATCAAATGTCAAATGTAACATACTCTCTGAATATTGGTATATGAATGATATTATTATATTCTGTTAAAATTTTGTTTAATATTTTCCCACAAAAAACACCTACAGATCACCGAAAAGCAAAATAAGCTTCAGTTAACAAAAATGGAATTTCGGAATTATACGCCTAAAATTCAGCTAACGGCCTAATAATACTAAATCACAATAAATCTTGTGATATCACTGTACGACATAAACAAAGTTTGAATTACAAAATAATCAACTTCAATTTTCAAGAGATCAAACAGTTCCTCTTACCGTGGCTCTAACTATATCCATAAAATACGAAGCTGTATAATCAAATGCCATTGAATAGGTTAGATTACGTTACATACGAATACCTTGAGGCTGATGGAAATTAACCTCTCTAAACATAATAACCTCACAACTTACGGTATATTCACTAAAGTTAAATACATATGATTTTCTCACATTGAAAATATACCGAATTATATTTTAAAAACTAATATCTAAAACTTTTACGAGAAATCCTCGCAGCTTCTAATAAATGCTGTTTATAAATAACTATAACATGTATGAATGAAACTACTTTCTAACGAATACTTTAAATACAATTTTGAACAATATATATATATATATATATATATAAACAATTTTATCAGATCATCTCTTCGTCGTTGATACCTATAATAAGATAAAAATAATAATGTATATATATCGCTAATTTTGTTTGAAGTTTTTTTTCTAAAGTTATACACTTCAAATATTTTCAACGTTATTATTATTTTTTTTTTTTCTATAATCGAAATTAATCTTTGATAAGTGCACAATTTTTTGAACAAAAAACTTGTTTAATCTATTGTTCTAATGGTTATAAAAAATAAAAGATATCTCATTATATATTCAATATAATGCAATATAAAATGGAAGTATTATACAAGTATTTGTAATTAAAAATTATCAATGATGCTATATAATATTATTATCATTAAACATTCGTTTAAAATTTTACAAAAATAGCTACATTATTGGGAACGTTGATAGATTTTAGTTTCTTTTCATGAGTCTGTTTTTACTATATATAAAAAAAAAAAAAACATTAACCACTAAGTAAAATTAAGCACACACATCTCCAGACTTATTATGTTTGGTAGATATAAAATATTTTACGATCTTATAAATAATAATAACAATATTATTAATATAAATAATAAGTTCAGAAATTGAATAATTATAATGTATATAAAACTCTGTGGCTATACTTGTATTTTATTATGTGCATCTGTATTATGTTGTTGATATGTTTTTGTTTTTAATCATCGTTTAATTTTTTTTTTTAAGAAATTAAAAATGTTTAATTTTTCCGAAAAGTTAATCATTTAAATTACAGTGTTATCCATATAACTTGATATTATAATTTAACGGGATTTATACGATAAAATGTATACCTTACAAACGTCATTAAATATATCCAAACCAGAGAATCGATCACTTCTACTGCAGTTTTGGCGTGAGACCGAGATGTAGAGGCTGTTTTAATACTCCACCCGCGTAATGTAAAGAACAAGTTGAACATTCTATATGTACAAATAATAGGTCCCCAGTGTCGTTTGTCTCCACGTGTAAGACTATACTCTAAAGCGATTTTCCTCATTTCTGGTTCATTACTATAGGTATAGCCGTGCAGATAGCTAAGTACCGCTATAAATATTCTTGTGACAAAGTGTATCGAATCATAGGCGTGGTCACAATAAAGAACTGTGGGTAGCTTAAGTTCTATACCACCTCTATTGACGTCAGGAGTCGTTTTAAGAACATTCATTTTTGATAGATAGGCGTAATAAATATATATATATATATATAACAAGATACATACAATGTTATCATTGTTTTAATGTTGTGTTTGTAAACAGTGACACTTAAAATATGTTGTGTTACTTTTTAATTTATTTTGTGTAGGTATTGTCACTTTTTGGGTGAAAGACTACGTACGAAGTTAAAATATCTAAAGTTTAAAGTAGCTTTTTCTAATACACGGTGTAAACTTAGCAGGAATATATGTTAAAGCTTATGAGTTATGAAATTTTTCAGACATTTTTTAAAAACCAAATCTGCAAACTATAATTAAGTATATTAAAAATCCACTGAAAACATGCACTGTTATGACTGAGAACTGAAGGAAATGTCAGAATGGAATTTAGTATTAGTTAAGTCAAAATCAGCATCTATATTTCTGTCAAAATGGGCTTTAGTATATAGTTAAATGATAACTATTTTAATATTACATTCGTTTTTTATTAATGTTAAATTATGTTATTGTAAAAGTTTCAAACAGTTTTAAACCACAATTCTTATATAATTGTAGCTGTTGATGTTTTTTGTAATAGATAGTATAAATTAGTTTCGTATTAATGAAATGCTATATGATGTTTGGAGACTTATTAATAGCTGTAAGGAGGAAGAAGTGAAGGTCAAACAGGAATATCCAGACCTATGTAAAATACAACTGCAATTTTAGTACCCCTTCCTAACACAATAACACGTTATAAACCGCATTGATTATTGACGTTCATTAACAATAATAACTCTAAAGACTTAAAATTTTCACCGATTATTATACTCTTGAGTCTTTTTCTAGAAATTTGAATTTTTTATCACTTTTGAAAAATTGTGGTCAAGAGTTTGAATTATAAATTGAGTGATCTACATGTATTTAACGTGAGACACACATTATTTCAGAAAACACAAGCAAAAACATTTATATCATATACATTTAAGTTGTTACATAATGATAACGAATAGTAAAAGCATATAAAATTACTTTTTGAACGGCTTAAAATTATATAAAATAAAATATTTTATAAAACGTAAATAGTTTTTTAAAAATGAAAATGAATGTCTTGAAAGTTAATGACAATGGATCACTCAATGTAATATATTTATTTTATGAGCTAATTTATTATTATAATTGCAATAAATTATTGTTCATCCACGTCATTTTTATTTCATTCGTAATAACAGAGATGATTCGAGTTCGTATATAGAACTTAACCTGTATATATAAGTTAATTCAAATACATATACAATAGTTTTTAAGGTTGAGTAATTTAATAGATGGTATTGAAAATATTATTTTCTTATTTTTCTTTGGAAAAATACTGTATGATGGGCACTATATTATTTGTACCACAGGTATTAGGACATCGGATATTAAATCAATATTGATTATCGTATGATTTCAAAATCATCAACTGTTAATTTTATATGAATAACGCAATAAAATTAAGTACTATTTAAAACTGATTAAACGTTATCTACAATAGTGAAGATTGAGCGCGATCCAAAACAAAATGAGTTCGTTATTGAAAACGTACGAAAAACCATACTATATGTTACCAGCAACCTACAATATTTATAGAGTTATTGAACGCGATTCGAATCAAAATTGGTTCGTCAATTAAGACAAGTGATAGGTATGGAATTAAGTTAAACTAAAAGTTAAATTGATGGAAACTTAGCGCAACTCGTCAAGTCCGTCTAGTAAACGCTGACTTCTAAACTTTATAACAGCTGTAATATGTGTACTCGCCAACAGAAAGCCCACGCCTTTCGGGGTGTACGAGTATTATTGTATTATTTTTGTGGCACGTACCTTCATGTGTGGACTGACTAGGTAGAGCAGTGGGTTAGCTCTGAGCCGTTCGTTTTCTTCTTCCAACCTACGCATCTCCTCTCTTCTGGCCGAACTCAACACGGACACCTCTTCCCGGGTGATCGACGCCGGAGCGTTCGGCGGCACTTGGACGTCCGGCAGACTCTTTTTGCGTTGCAGTCCCATCTGAACTGGAACTTCCTGCACAATAAAAACAATAATATATTATTAGAGGCGTGAAATCTTAAACAATAAAATAATACAATATCGGTATCATAATAATAAATAAACGTTAATTGTGTCAGTTTTTAAGATTGGACCGATCTGTTCAGGTTATACATAATTATCATCGATATGCTGTTATAACCGGAACAAAATGTATCAAATATAAATAAATATCCATCGAACCGATAATATCATTTGGCGTTACGAAGAATTAAAATATATTGAATATGCTCATTTTATATTACTGTAAATTAAATCATTTTATTATTTACTAGATATTTTTAATTCAAATTAAATTATAACTAATGATGACATTGATCAAATAATAGAATATAAAAATTTTGTATCTACGTAGCGTTTTTTTTACCATATTATATAATTTTATACACATAGCAAGGGGAAAAAAAAAAGTATGAGACGCATATAATTTCTAGTTTCTAGATAATATTTTACATAATAATAAACATATCTAGTCGGGTAATAGTAAAAAGTAGATTAAGCACAAGATAATGATAAATAAAAATTAATAAGTATTTTGGAAATATTTTGATTGCCTAAATATTTATTGTTTTTCTGTTTGATTTAGGAACGAATAATAATTGTCGGATGCTATGTTAAATCCAAAATCGTCTTATGATCATTAAATATACTATGATAATGGTTTACACATTTCTCTGTACAATAAATTTTTGATTTTTAAAACCGAATTATAATAAATATATTTGATGATGGAACAACAATGGAACATGCAATAGCATAGATCCACAGAAGTTATATTTCAAATTGATTTACTAGCGGTATTTACCAAATTATCCATCGACCATACAATAAAATATAAATTTCAATGTAAAAAAAAATAAATAAATAAAAACGTTGAAAAGAACACACAGTCATGCAGACAGAATATGGTAATTTCACAGCTTTGTTCATCTCGTCACAATCCACTTTTTTGTAATTATTTTAAATCTGAAAGAAATAACAAAATCCTATTCTGTGCACACCTCGGTACTTACAAGATGGGTAGGATTTTATTAATAACAAGTCTACCGCAAATGTCACTATTTTGAAAAATGTTCTTCACAAAGTCTGCGTTCAGTTTCCTGTATCTGAAATAGGGTTAGAAATGAAAGTTTTGTAACAATTTTACCGTCTCGCTAAGTGTTTTTATAAAGAAAACTAAAATAAAACACATTATAATAAAAACCAATGATACGCTTGCTCTGCACAAAACTTGAAATCAATCGCTAAATTTAAATGCGTATACTCAGAACCCTATAAATATAAAGCTAAAGTATTGAAATGCTTCCTAACAAATAAATCTTACGGTAAAACTCTAAATGGGGCGGGATAAAATCACTTCGGTGTATTTTTAATCGCAATGTATAATAAATTGTATATATTTCAACTTTGTCGCCTCGTACGCATCACACCTCACCGTACAATCTCAATTGAGAAAAAAACATTTAACTATATGCTGCTTAATTAAATTTATCTTCGTGATAACATTTATATTAATTATACATTATACCATTTTAAGAACCGATTTAATGTTTAGCCAAATCCAATAACGTGTGTCCCTAAAATGTGGAAAAATATAATTTACCATTTCGTCACATGTATATATATATATATACTTATATAATATGTATAATAATTAATATTACACTATTATTCACTGATGAATTATAGAAATCCGTGATGATATGATATCAATATAAAATATTCGAATTCTCAAGCCATTAAAAAAAAAAAAATATATATATATATATATATATATATATAGTAAATAGTTAATAATTATCACGAGACATACTTACACACCCTCCATGTTACTTCCCCCTCTTCCCTCAATAATTGCTTTAATTCGGATGCAGTATACCATACACTTTATTACTGTAGTAGTATTGTTAATAACGAAAAATATGGCAAAATCAATACCTACACAAATACACACTCACACACATAGATAAGACTACATCAAATATTTTGAAATAAGTAGTTTCATTGTCGATTGTTCCTATATATTTATATCATGTACACGTCGAACACCAGACGAGACGTTCTCAACAATAATTGGCAAAGCGTTTAAAATCGATAAACATCGTCCAGGGCCCATCTATATAAGAACTATACTAGGTGAGTTTGTTTTTATTTTTTTTTTTTTACTCCTTAAAAATGTTTTATCGTTGCATCGTGCGCATTATTGAAGGCCTCTTCTCGACCAATATTTACTGCGAACGAGCGACTTTGAAAGTTTTCACATTTATAACGGAAACTATTAGTGTCGCTGCAAACTCTGACCAACTTATTGTCTATGAATAACTATTTTAAAAACACGTATATTCAACGAGAGCAACACGAATCTATTTATAACTATACAGCCCGGGCCCACGGAGCGGCTCATGATTAATTCATTTGTCAAGTCCGTGCTCAAATCCAATCGTTTTAGACTTTAAAAGTAGTACAGTCGTTAGCAACATGAACGAGTAAATACATTAAACAATCGTCAATAAACTGAAATCAACATAAATAAGAAATAAGACGACAATGCGATAGTATCGCGACGGCCATAATGCAGTACCTACCTTCGAGCAAATTTAGGACATTTTTAGGTATCATATTATAATATCTTATATCATGAAACGGTACCGTGTCTTATTACAGTAAGACATCGTATAGACGAAAGTGTTGCCATTGAGTGACTTTTTTTACAAGGCAGATAGGTGATGATTGATTAGCATAATTATCTCACTACCTGCAGTACACTACGATGTACCTACGTCATATTAAAATTATCATTTAACAAAAAACGTTTAGATTATCAGATTCTGAAATTTCCACGTCAAAATTGGTCAACATTCAGGTGAACGAGTTGTGTGTAAGAATAGGTATAATTAGTTTACTGTTATCTTTAACAAACTACTAGCTGATCAAAACAGTTATACCTTATAATTATTACTCATATTATACTTTTATATTCATATGTATATTTTTTTTACTCAAATTATAATACGCCTTTAAGCGCATAACCGACTCTGATCACTGAAGTGTGTAAAGTGTGTATATTATTATAATTTTGTCCTTTTACAGGTAGGTGATTCGATAACGTTTGAAATAATGATATTACAGACGTGAAATAAGATTTTTTCTTAGGCATGTTCCTCTGATCACCTACCTTCTCCCCTAAAAAAAAACAATTCGTTTTATCTTTTCCTGCGACTCAAGTGGTTTAAATCTGAGTTGTTATGCTTTGAAAAGTTTTTAATTTGATGACAAACTTGAATAATTTTCTTTTCGGATTTACTCGTATTTTATTTTAAAACAACTTTTTAAATTATTTCAGGTATTACGTCATAATATGTTTGTTTATTTTTTTTTCAAAATAGCTTGAGCCAAGATATCTCGTTATAAATCTGTCCATTTGGTTTTGATATAACTATATTTAACGAAATGTATTTATTTTACTTATAAGTTTATTACGAACACTACAGTGACAGTAAGTTGAGACACACAGATTATTTTACTGAGATAAGCGCAAGATGACTATTTTAGCAGAAAATTTTTGTTATATATAATTCACCTTATACAAACAAACAGCTAAAATATAATATTATAAATTAAAACCAACAATGATTTGATACTTTCTTGGTTTTATATTAGCATGATTAATTTAACTAATCAATTTATTATATTTATTATTGTAAAATAAAGATATAAACGTAAAAAAAAATTATACTTCTCATCAATTTATACCTATATTATATTTTAATTTCCAAAAAATAAATATTAATTTTATAACCATATAACGTTTTATATTGTAAACTACTAAGTCTAACTCATAATAATTATTGTTTTTTGGAATTTAAACATCGCAGTAGCCACTAATATAACACTAAAGCATTTTCATTTGGTGTCACGATATTCACGTAGATATATGTAATTGGTTTGATTGTAATTTTTGAACAGTAAACTATAGTTTGTAAAAATGTCATGCATAAATAATGAGATTTACCATGATGAGTTATGGTAAATAATTTTAAAATAATAAACTAAATTTGAGAAATATTTTGTAAATACATTTTTTCTCTCATTTTGAAAGTATTAGACTATCAACTCCACCGGTTAATGATAAGATTCACCATAAACAAAGTTTTAAAACAAAATACATCATACATATCAATTACTATATGACTGTTAAAATTGATTTTAATATCCATATTTACTAATTATACGATCACTTAATGTGTCTAATAGTTAAACATAAATTAAATTTGTTAATTTACCTATACATTTATTGTATAACCATAATTAATCTATAAATAGTAGCAAGTATATTTGATATCTAATTAAAATTTATGAGACAATTTCATCATGCTTAACCAAACACATTGTTTTTTGATGTGGAAAATAGGTTATAACTTCTTTAGGCCCGACTTTTTTCATCCAAAAACATTTCCACTTTTGTTTAATTAAATAATTAAGTTTTTCGCTGTTTTTGCAATAATTGCTTTGATTTTTTCACAAACATTTTTTTTAATCAACATTTCAGTAACCAGATACTTTAAAAATAGTGTTATTTTATATGTAGAAAGGCTTTATGTATAACAACATCAACGGAAATTTATTGTTCAAAGTAATTATTAATGAATTGTAAATTAACAAATAACTGTTGATTATAAAATAATTATTTTCTTATCGCAGAAGTACAGCATGGTTACAAGTTTACAACCAAAATAAATGTATATACTGTATACATTGTGTAATACATTCAAACGGATTTAACAATGTTAAGAAAGAGAGGGGACTACATAGAATTGGTCGACACAAAACTTACATCTTCAGTCATATTCTCGTAAATAAAATACTTTTAGTTTCGAAAAGAACTGATAACACATATTATAAAGTATTGTCCCCTGAGTTATGTATGCTATAAGTCGGAATTTCAAACCACGAGATTATAGGTTACAGTTTCAATC